TACAGCGAAAAACCAATGTTTTACTTTTGAGATGATTTTAATGTAATCCAATATTTTACTTACATTTTTCCTAGCAGCTTGCCAGCCCAATAAAATGTCCGGTGCTTACCTCACCACCACATTCTAAGAGTTCTAACTACGCCCCTAATTCATTTTCATGACAAGGTGCAGGTATTTTAAAAGAATTGTTAAAAATAAAAATGTTCTCACAGTTTTTGCACTATAAAGCTCTACCTATTCTCTGCCTAATCACCATGGCAATGTTTACATTGGTAGCACAGTTCAGCTATGCTCTCATAATCAGGAGAAACAGCCGAGCAGGGACTGCTGGGTTTACAAGATAATGTTGTAAGGTGTGGTTCCAAAGCGTGGTAGGCTTATTGTAGAATTGGTGTAAAACAGAGTACATGACTGATGGCCATATGCAAACATTGCCATGGTGATTCGCCATAAATGATACCACTACATTCCTTTTCAATCTGATACTTAGTAACACCAAAAATAATGTCCCAGTACCAGCACCAATACTTTTAAAAAGTGTTCCTGTTCATGTAAAATGTGGAATGTTTGTCCTTGCTACAAAGAAACCCAAACTGTTTTTTTTTTAAATAAAAAAATCGATGTAGTGTGTAAATAGTCAACATTTAAAAATTTATTGTTCACTCCCCAGTGAATACAGTCCGTATATGGACAACTAACGGCCTTGTGCCATGCACCTGTCCCCCATGCCCCGATGACAGCTGCGAGAGCCAATGGGAAGGCGGGGCCTGAATCCTGAGGGACGTCACTCATGCATGGTAAAGGCCCATATCAGTTTCACTGTTTCTTTGATGTCACAAATGAAGACCAATGCATTTACATATATTTGCGTATTTAGCCTACATCACTTCAGTCCCGCCTTTTCATGCTGAAATTTTGCGGAGTGTTTTTTGACTGAATCACAACCAAGGGTGGATCTAAAGACGGGGCCACAGGGGCACTGGCCCCAGAAGAATTCTGATTGGCCCCTCAAGTGCTTCCCCCTCTAGGAACTCGCCACCTCCAGTCACGTTATTGAAAACTCGGTTACCCCTCAGTGATATTCTTGGATTTGAATGGTGCATATGCTACTCACATGAGCTGTGTTTACTGCAAGAATTTCAGGAGTGCTGCAGGATAATAATAACAGCTAAATTTATTGGAAATCAGTGCTTTAATGGTGCTGCTAAATTAAACCTCCTCTGTGCAATAGAAGTTTCTTGAGCTGACTAAAATTGTCTAAGCTAAATGTTCCAAGACTCTGGACCCTGTACAAGGAATTGGTTTCCGAACTTGTCCCATTTTTCACTGCTTATGAGTTTGCATGTCTGTATTTAGTAGTTGTGAAATTATTAGCCTTATGATTAAATTTTACCATGTCTGCTGCCAATTTCCAATGTACAGTTATACAGTAATAAGTTATGAAATAAAACTATGAAATGGACTGTGGTACACATTCTGTATATGCAGTTAGTCTGAGGTAGATAATAAATTATGGAGCTCTTAGAATTTGAAGGCATTTATTCGGTCGCTGAACAGGAACTGTGGCCCCATTATAGCCCCACCTAAAAAAAATCCACAAAAAACACAGAGCAGCCAATCAGAACAGAGGGTTTAAGGCCTTAAAGATTTTACATGTTTCAAAGATCTAAAGGATAAAAAGAGATTGGAAAATAAAATACAACAACTTCAGTACATAATCTCACAAAAATGTCATAAGTAGACCTCAAAGAAAAGAAAATGAAAAACAGGGCCATTTAAGGTTTTGTCAAAGTCTCCAGGTAGAATCAGAGGACTGACAGGAAACGAGCAGAGGAAAGTGAAATCACAGAGAGGATCTGAGGATGAAACACAACAATATTTTTTAATGGGTTAAACATACAGAGTGTGAATACAGTAACTATGGAATTCAAGTGAAGAGATATGAAGTCCAGGTTCAGTAATGAGGGACAAAAATGCTTGAGGAGACCATAAGCAAACCCGTTAAACAGATCAGTGTATTTATGATCACTTCAGTGTACATTAAGTTAATGTGGTACACAGTAGTTAAAAGTACACTGACTCTCTAATGAGTCTATATTCCTAAAAATTTATGGTTGATTTATGATATGGCTCTTGCTTCTGGTCTAGGATGTAAATGCAAGGTGAGTCAATCAGAAATACAAAACTAATGATAGGTTGCAAAATTAACAGAGAGGTTGTCAATGGTAAGCAGAACAAATGTAAAATAATTCCTCCTGCTAAAGATTTTGGTATTTTTGATGCAGTAAATTGCATTATCCTAAGGACATACATGAGCCTGAGTTGATTTATTTGCATCTTGTTAACTTGAAATAGGGTCTAGCTTAGAAAAAAGCTTTGAAACACAGTTTGATCAATATTTTTGTTTGGTCTAGTAAGACGACTTTCTGTTTTTTTTTTCTTTGCTAATTTATATCTATCCAGTTTATAATGCTTGATGTAGTCCCTGAGCACCATTGCCATCAAGTGCAATAGACTATATGGCTACAGTATCATCAGCAAAATTACAGATGTTACTCCATGTTGAAGATGTGCTTATATACCTAGATGCATATTTAAATATAATTATGAGAGGTTCAAGGTTGAAAGATACAAGTGTGAGTCAAGATTTTTAGGACAAGTCTAACAGTCATAATCATAGTGTGACGTTGTGACAGAAAGTCAGACGCTTGCGGATGTAAAAATGAAGGTGGTTTATTAACAACAAACCAACCGTAAGCAAAAAGGGCAAAGCTCAAACCGATGTCAAAACACAGATCCGTCAGAACAGCGAATGTACCAAGGGAAGAGGCAAAAAGTCAAAAACAGAACAAACGAAGCAAAGGTCAAAACGCCGTGTACTCAAACAGGCGAATACCGCTCAGTAGCTTTCTAGGAAACAATACCTCGCAAAGATTCAGACTAAAGCCCGGGCTTAAATACTGCTACCTATCTGTCATATGATCATATGCACAGGTGAACATAGTTAGTACTCAGGGGATTGAGAGCGCTGATAGGTACGCCCGTGAAAGTCCAAAGTCACATGAGACCCCATTGAATTCTGGGCAATGGAGTTCTCTCCGGAGCTGGATTCCGAGTGTGGATGTTCAGTCATGTGATCTCCCAAAGGATTCTGGGAGATAAAGTCCGTGTCTTCCAGAGAGTTGACCGAATGCGTGACACATAGACCAAAGCAGAGGTCAGAGCACAGGCCATCAAGTTCAGGCATGGTAACCTGTAGTAGCAAAAATAGAACAAAACAGACAAAACAAGCAAAAAACAAGACAACACAAGGAAATCCCATGAACCTGAAACAACAGCTCAGAGGTGTAGCTTCAAAATGCATACAAGACTTTCCAAACAGCAGAAGGACTGAGACAGGACAGGTGGTCACTGTTATCATTGAGAGGAGCAAGGGCAGAAACACGACATTACAAACTGGGCTGACAAGTCACAGGTGAATAATGGTGAGGCAATGGAGTGCTGGGCGGAGCTGTAAAATTCCAACACAGTATCCCAGGCTGGGAATTCTATGACATAATGATGAGGGGGTGGTGCTGTAAATTTCCAAAACAGACCCCTACAATGGGAATTCTGTGACATACATGAAGTAAAGTTGTCTTAGGACATTTTGTGAAGGCAAATGATTTGCCTATGCAGCCACTCTAATCAGCAGTATGTTAACAGTTAAAAATGTTCATTTATACACTTTCAGCACAATCCAGAAAGCCCTAGATGAAAATTACACAGCTTTCATTGCCGAAACATTAATGAGAACAGTTTCAACATAGACCAAGACATACACATTTCAGCCATTACAGCGTTGTAATTGAATCAAATACAATCAAACCACAGGCCTTGACAAATTTGAATGGTTTACACCCCAAGATTAACGATCTCTAGCCTTTCCATAGTGTTAAGATATATCTAATGTACAGTAGCCAGGCCTCAGCTCACACATTCACCTCCTGTTAACGGTATCTTTGATGAGGCTAAGACTACACAAGACTGGACATAGCTGCACATTCTCAAACATGCTAAGATACTAGCCTGACACTAGAGGTCAGAGTGCAGTGCTGTTGATCACCTGGACATCTAAGTCCATTCTGTCAGTGTCAGAATGTGCTAATTACTGAGTCAGTTCCAAACTCTTTGCACATCACTATTGCATATCATTCCTTTTGGACATTCAGGCAGTTAATTTCAGGCAACTTGTAAAACTTTAAGCCCATACTGTAGCCACTGTACTCACTGAGGAGCTCAGTGAAATGTAAATAGAAGGTGTTAGATTCCGGTTCTGCAGGTTTAACAGAGGGGCCTGGGCAGTGCAGATAGTATCAGGTATCCACTAATTGAATAGATGTAAATGAAATTTATCTGAGTGCAAAATTATATGTTTTGCTAATGGAAAAGGATTATCCCCCTTAAACTTTGTAGGCGTCCACATTGCTTAGTAACTATATGGAACACAATGAAAAAAAAATGCATTAGTTATTTATTCAGCAGGTCCTTAAACGTTAAGACATTATTCTGAAATGTAGTAATTATTAGACTGCAGTCTTTTGCAATGGAGAAAAAGAGAACAGTTAAGTGTTTGTTGGTGAAACAGAGAGAAAATGAGAGCAAAAAAGAGGGAGCATAGGAGAAAGAGTAACTGAAGCAGAAATAGAAGCCCACAAGCCCATGCTGGTCGCCAGTAGGGCCACTGATAAGACATGTTTGCATGTATCTGTAAAAACGTGCAAAGAGAGGGGGGGGGCGGGGGGGGGTGCACCTTTGCCTTCACAAGCCCAGTTTAGGCTTGCTGCCTTAAGGTACTTCAAACTGCTGGTCTAGGATCAGCATGCTTTCCCTCTGTTCTCTTCTTCAGCACAGTGCAAGACAAAGCAAAACCAGTTTCAGAATCAGTGGCTCGGAGCAGCTCTGTCTCTGGGGCTCTTTTGACTCCTCCTCAATTCTTCTCATTCCTGTTGTGTCAACCTATCATTCTGAGCTGCTGCTGCTTCTAATGGACACAGTCATATGTAGAAACGCTCCTCCATACAGGAAACGTAAAAGACAGACATCTGCAAAATCAGGTACAGTTTGATAGCTTTTTTTTTTCTGTGCACTGAACTTCAGTGGCAGCCATTAACATGAAGCAATGTTGTGGTTAGTTACTGAACTAGTTTTTCTTCATGTCTGATTTTTTTCCAGTTTAATCATGCTTATTGTAGCATAACTCATCTAATAGGCAATTAGTGGTTTACTTTTTCATCGTAGGCCATGGAGATAAGTGACATTTGTGCCACTGGTGACTTAACAGCAGTGCTGTCATTGTTTTGGTGTTTTTGTAAGTTGTACTGTTTGTAGCTTAGTGATTATACAATGTATGTGACCAGCTAAAATGCAATCTTAAAAATAACAGTAACAGAAACGGAGAGCAATGCCATAGAACCACTTTCACTTTCCTAAAGAGCCTTTTAATTGAGTGGTTTAAATTGAGTGTTGTAAAAAAACCCTCAGGGAACCAGAAGAGTTTCCTCTGTGGCATCATCCCAAAGAACCTTTTAGTGAGGAACCGCTGATTTCTTAATTCAAAACATGTGGGTCTGTTCAGGAAAGGGACAACATTTGACTCTCAAAGGAGGTCGATGAAGGGCTACCCTCGGACAGTTGTAGGAGCAGGGTTAGGAATCTTCAGGATTTTGGCCATTTGATTTTTTTAATCCATGTTCTCATGAAGCAAAGATGGACAAAGTAATTCCAGTTGTGGTCTAGCTGACAACAACCTGATATGCATCTGCTTGGACTAATATTGTCTGATTGTGTGTTGAGGAAGCCTCAATAAAGGTCATTCAGGTTTGGCCCATGACAGCTAACTAAACGATTATTTTATATTATCTGTCTGTAATTTTATGTCATATTCTTTTGGAACTGCCTGGGGAACAAAGCCCTACAGTTTATGTGACACAGTGTTTACATGTTTTGTCCTTTTCCATCTCTTCCTAAAGTAGTTCAAAACAGCTGTGATAAGGGTGCAACTGCTGATATTGCGGTACTTTTCCACTTGCAAAACTTGGGCTGGACTCCAGTGGGTGGTCCTTTTGAAACAGTGGCTCTGAGTTAGATTCCAGAATGCACTGAGCTGATACTCCAGGATGCAGTCTTGCACTGAAAAGCAAAATTTTATTTATTTATGTATTTCTTTATTTATTTGAATGGTGTTATAAATAAAACTGTAAAACATGCTGTAGAAGACAAATATACTTTCTACAGCTGTAAATGTGTAGTTCTTTATTTTGTTGGCAGAAATGCCCCAGGCCTCATGAGGGTCATGAGGTTAAAGTTAACTTTAGGTTTTACAGACAGGAGCCTAATAATAAGCAAATTCCTATAGAACTGTTTGAAATGTGTGTGTCACAGTCAGCTGGGGCAACCATAGTAATTAGTAACTTAAATGAACTGAGGTGTTTTGTAAAGTGAAAAGTGAATTTAAAAAGTAAAAATAAAAAAGTAAAAAAGCACTTGGCTAAGGCTGAACTTTAAGAACAGCTTTACAGTTATCACGGAACCCAGATTTACTCGTACCTCTTATGGGCCCCATTTCACTTCATGTGCCAAAGATTACATAACAACACCAACACCAAAAACATGTGACTACTATGTGATATTATATTATATTATATTATATTATATTATATTATATTATATTATATTATATTATGCAGTCATATACAAAAGTTGGTCTAATCATGTTTTGGTGATTTTCTAAGTTAAAATAAGCACACATCCTCCACAGAGAATATATTTCTGCACATTTCAATACACAATAACTGTTTATTCTGTGAATTTTATATATTGGGGAAAAACATAAAACGTAGCCTGTGCAAAGGTTTTGACACATTTTATATATTTATTTTTTTTCATGATGTTAAATTCATATAAATAATAATTATCTATATTTAAATTTGTTTTTGATAGAGGTTGTTTTAACCTATTTTCAATTAGAAAATCAGCAAAATGTGTAATTTGACCGGGCATACGACTGGATTATATTATATTATATTATATTATATTATATTATATTATATTATATTATATTATATTGTTGGCATAGAAAAAGACATGAGAAATGGCAAACGAGCAGCAATGGGAAACTACCTGCTGTTTCTCAATAACAGTGGATAGCAGGCAGGTCACGTCTAGCCATACAATTCTTCTTTGTGGTAGGCTCTCACACCCACACTAACTACCCCACAGCCCAGCACAATAAAACACATGCAACACAAAGACACACTGTTAACCCGAACAAGCACAACATTAACAGCGCAAATATTGTCCTTTCTTACCAGGAGCGTGGCACCGCCTGAGAGCCTCTTTGCATGACGGATGCCACAACACTATAGTCTATTGCCACTGTCAAATCAAAACCTTGCATCTCCTTTTCTGTTTGTCTTTTTTCTTTTCATTCATGTAAATTTCCATTCCTGTAAATGTACCTGTTATAGCCTGTTTTTCATTGTGCTTTTTTTTCAGCCTTCTCAGTAGCATTATGGAGCGTGGCTTTGAGCCAGCAATGAGGCTAAAGCTGATGAATGGAGCAAGCTCCACGGCACAGCCCCAGCACAAACCGCAGCAGAGAGAACAGTGGGCCAGTAAACTGGAGTTTTTCCTGGCCGTTGCAGGACATATTATTGGCCTGGGAAATGTGTGGAGATTCCCTTATCTGTGTTACAAGAATGGAGGAGGTGGGTTAAGAACTATTTTTCTTCTACTTATAGATTAATTATGTGGATTATTTAACTTCTTAAACCTCTATGGTTTATAATTCAGCTATTAATTGCAATGCTTATTATTCAGTAACTACTACGAGTTATAAAAAAAAACTGTAAAACCAGTATAGTAAAATGATATGAATGATGCAGTTCTGAAGTTGTGTAGTATGAAATATGAAGTATGAAGGAGTGAGGAGCTGAAATGCTGGCCCATAGGCTTTAGGGTTTGAAGCCTCAGTGTGTACTTTTTGCATGTACTTTAACTATATGTGGATAATAAGATTATAAGTACAATGATTTTCATACAATTCAGGCCATGATTTTTCATACTGTACAGGCTATGTTTGTGAGTTACTATGTCTTAAACCAGCCTGATCTGTGGCATGCTCTTCTAGGTTCTGTGTATTGAAATCACCAACTTTGATATTACTAGAAGAGTTTATCATTAACAGCACAGACTACTTTGAACTGCCTGACCTAAGATCAGCACAGGCCTCAGATCAGCATTAGAGAAAGCTTGGTTCCTGGAGAAAAGCTTAAACATGCCTACTGTATGTGGTACTGTTTCTCTAGGACAGGGGCCGCATGAGGCGGTGGGTGAAGTTGTATAACTGCATACTTGGTTTTGTGGTAAGACATGCAAGTGACCTCAGTGACTTAAACACATGAGCAGGATTGTAAAAAAGTCTCCATAAGCTTCCCTCTTTCTCAAATTATCTGAGGTGCATGATGCTTAAAGGAATCATTTATTGAAAAAATCAAATGTATATTATGCCTCCTTACTCCAAATAGAGCTGATCTGTCAAGACATGTTTAATGTCCACAGTGTACTTCTTTGTTTTTTTGCACTGGAGTTATGAGGCTAATCTACAAAAGTTATCAATAAAAACAGACAAAATATGAAGGAGTCCAGACCTCAGGATGGCAGCCACTATAGCAGATGCAACATATTTTTATTCAGTTTTATAGATAACCGTATGTCCTGTTTGTCAGAAACATAATCAAGTCTGTTTGAGATTGCCTAACAACATGATGTGGTTTGAGGTAAGACTGTTGTGATTTAGAAATGTAGCTTGCAGAATGATAAATAGTGAAATAAGAACCTCCTTTTGTTGTTAGCTACATTAGCCCTATGGCTCCAGTGCAGAGCTAAAGAAGCATTCTTCCGATGCCCTGGCAGATCAACTAAATTTGAGATATGGGTAAAATTGTATAAATTTGATTTTTCACAGACTAGTCCTTTAAATAAACAAAGGTATGCATGTAAATTAGAGGAGCAGATTACATAGATTCCATTAAACCTTTGCTGACTGCACATTGTTAGTTGACACATACAAGAGTATATCTGATTCACTTTTATTTTCTGAATCATGTATTGAAAGCAATTTTTTCGTGTCAAAGGAGCCTTCTTTGTGCCATACGTCCTCTTCCTGTTTTCCTGTGGGATACCACTCTTCTTCTTGGAGACATCATTAGGCCAATACACCAGCCAAGGTGGCATTACATGCTGGAGGAAGATCTGCCCTCTTTTTGAAGGTGAAAAAGTAAAATATCTCACCAATTAAAAAACTGTATAACCTATACTCAATTAACTACGTCTTAGTCAATATTGTTTAGCAAATACTGTCATCACAAACCACAACAGCTACTACTTCTACTAATGAAAAAATAAAAAATAATTATAACAACAACAACAACAACAACAACAATAATAATAATAATAATAACAATAATAATAATACTTATTATTATTATTATTATTATTATTATTAGTGGTAGCTGTAGCAGTAGTAGTAGGTGGGGGGGGGGCAACATGTTAGATGCAGGTTGGAACTAAACTCTGCAGGAAAGTAGATCTCCAGGAAGAGGGTTGGGGACCACTGGTCTAAATAATAGCTGAATTACATCCATTATGCTGGGCACTACTACTACACTCTCTGCTGAGTTTATTTTTTTAAATATTAGCTGGCCAGATTAATTGTAAATATGATGAATTGTAAATATATGACAGGCCTTATAAAGTTGCCAGTAGACAGAGAAGCTAGAAAGACAAACAAGCTACTAAGCTAGCATCTAATGCTTATTTTTCAATGGGTAAAGAGTATGCTTTTACACTTCTTCTCAGGACTTGGCTACGGTAGCCAGGTGGTGGTCCTGTATACTGGAGTCTATTACATCATCATTCTGGCCTGGGCGTTTCTCTACCTATTTTCCTCCTTCAGCTCAGAACTCCCATGGGCCAGCTGCAAGAATAGCTGGAACACAGGTGACAATACTCTCATTGTAATGACCTGCCACTACAGCAATCTAGACTTACACCATGTTCTTTCAGTTCAATAGTGTTCAGTTCAACAAAATAAACTTTAATGACAAGCTTTGTACAAATATGTCTTTATGTCAGAATGAGGCACACATTTCCAGGTCCAATGGAACAAACATTCTGCTGGAATGTTCAAGGCAAACATTCTTCATTTGTTCCTTAGTTTATGTCAGAGCAGCTGCCGGACATAGATATGAAATAAATGCAAGGATAGTGCACCTTAAATTATTTCTTATAGATTATGAGAGTTTGTAACAACGATGTTTCCATTTTTCTGTTTGTAGAGCACTGCGTTGAATTTAGTCAGAGCAACGTAACTGAAAATATTCCAGTCAAAGTGACATCCCCAGTTATGGAATTCTGGGAGTGAGTATTTGGAAATGACACCCTATTAAAGTAATTGTTTGGCAAGTGATTCTGGGCTAGAAAACACATAAGCAAGAGTATTTAAGTGTGAGTTTACAATTTAACTCAGTTTGGATGAACTTCCATTACTTTCCAGCTAGAAAAAAACTAAAAGTGCCAATCCACAGAAGCATATCTTCTTCAGATTTGCATATCTTGACTGACTGATACATTTGGGGTAAGGGAAAAAATGTGTAAAGGTTTATTTCTCACTGAAGCTTTGCTTTAAAACTGCAGACACAATTACATGTTCACTCAGACTCAGTAAATCCATCAGCTGACCCTTTTCACACCTCACATTAACTGGAAGAAAGCTTGAGTTATGAGAAATATAAGCAGATGTTGAAATGTTCTATGTGCTTGTAGGAGGAGGATTTTGGGTTTGTCTGGAGGGATTGAAGAGATTGGTAATGTGAGGTGGGAGCTGGCTCTGTGTCTGCTGCTGGCCTGGATCATCTGCTACTTCTGCGTGTGGAAGGGAGTGAAGTCTACTGGCAAGGTGGGTACTAAGTGGGCACCAATATGAGATTTGTGGGCTGATGCCTACATCCAATTCTTTTTATGTACATATCTGCCAAAGCTGCATTGAATTAGCATTGCAGAGAAATATAACATTTATTTCTAAGGTGCTACAAACACAGTAAAATGAATAAATGCAGAGATATAGCATCCCATACATATTGGTTTGAAAGATATTAACTTTTTTTTAGAACTATGTGCTGATACTGATATGAATCCAATATTATAGAGTATCCCTCATGGGTACATGATGAAGCAGTGCGAAAATGTAAGTCAGAATTTTCTGATGCTCAGTAGGGCCTGACCAATACAACGCTGACTGATAACACTGAATGAGGTTAAGGTTCCGCAAATTTATCAGCATTGAAGGAAATCCTTCTGACAAAGCAGTGATGATGTCACTGAGGAATGATGATGCTGTTTTGAACAGCCAGACTGTCTGTAAACACTGTTAATTTGTGAAGTAGAACAGACCATGGACAATTTTATCTTGTTTGTGAGTTTAACATCATGCTCTTTTGCACATTATTTAAAATGTATTTTTAAGGTTATGTTATATGATTTTTAATAAGTGACTTGTTCAGGTCATTTAAGACTGCAAGTTTTTTTAAAGACTCTGCAAGTAAGATGTTCTTCTGACCATGACCTCACTAGTCCGGGAAATGTCTCTTCTGCTATGCATGAACTAATTATTATACACTTGGTCACAGTTTATGTTACCACACTGTGAAATGTAGTAATTGAGTAACAATATTTCTCACTGCTACCTCACAAAGCTATGATTTGATGTTCTTCACAGATGTTAGCTAGCAAAGTTATCTGAGAGGAGCCCATGGTGCAAAACAGCAGTGAGAGTTCAGTCCTCTCTCTACTGCAGTTCCACTGGCTTGGCTTTAGGCAAGTCACGCTGGGGTGTTTCTTTTTTAGAGCCAAGAAATTATGCCCACCACTTTTGGAGGTGTGGTGCCACCCCTGCTTCTGACACTGATGCTTTTTTCTTTTCATTCCGAAAGTGTGAGAATGATTTCAGTACACTTATACACTTATCTGCACTTTTTACATATTTGATCATTGAAACTGACAAGAAGCTGTTATATCATTCAGTAAATCACTGTTAAACAAAAACTATTGGAACCTGTTCATTTTTGAGCATAGAAAATTACATCACATTATTTGTTATCAGCATTTTGAGCTTCTCAGAATCAATATTGCTCAAGCCTTAAGTGCACTGTGCTGTCGTGTTTTCTCAGGTGGTCTATTTCACTGCTACCTTTCCTTATGTGATGCTGGCAGTTCTGCTGGTACGTGGACTCACGCTGCCTGGAGCCATTAATGGTATCAAATTCTATCTGTATCCAGATCCTTCACGCCTCACGGACCCTCAGGTACTGAACTTTTTAAAATTTGTTTCTTTGTGTCTTCACTATTATTTGTTCCTAGCTTTACTATAAACATGAATGCAAGTAATGCTGGTCTTAAAAACATGTGGATCACTTTTGAACCACTATCCATGTTTCAAGATGATGTGTTCCATTTCAGGTGTGGATGGATGCAGGTAGCCAGATATTTTACTCCTATGGAGTTTGTACAGGTGTTCTGACAGCTTTAGGAAGTTACAATAAATATGAAAACAACTGTTACAGGTAAAAGAAAATAAGTTTAATATACTTTTTGATTGGGGTTATGTCCATAATTTTGTGCTTGAGAAGGGGGTCAAAGGTAAGAATAGACTAAAGCCATTTCTTGTCTGTTTATACTTTACAGAGACTGTGTGTACTTGTGCTTGCTAAACAGCATGACCAGCTTTGTAGCTGGTTTTGCCATCTTCTCTGTGCTGGGTTTCATGGCAGATGAACAGGGAATGGACATTTCAATGGTGGCAGAGTCAGGTATGATATGTGTACTGGCACAAGATCAGCCAAACCCAAGAGCAACACAGAATCTTTGAGATGTGATCTTTGTTAAATTGCATTGGAAAAAGGAGACTGCTATGAACAGAAAGCTATGCATTTGTTCATCATTGTAATTATGGTAGTATGTCATATAATATTTCATGAGCTATATGGCTGAATAAGTAAATGATAAAGTTTTATGAATTCTCTTTAAGCGTTGCACACTCATCAGTCTTTCTTGCTGTAGGTCCTGGTCTGGCATTCATTGCTTACCCACGTGCAGTGGCCTTAATGCCTTTACCTCAGTTATGGGCAATTTTCTTTTTCATTATGATCATTTTCCTTGGATTGGACAGTGAGGTGCGGCTACACATTTATTTCTAACCTTTAACTAGTTTCGTAAATGGAGAATAACTTTTTTGTGTGAATCACCTTGAAGGCCAGATGGTAGGCCTATCATATAGAAACACTGCTAGAGAAACTTTGGAATAAGCTCAAGCTAAAACTATCAGAGCACTGTATTAGAACATGGGATTTCTAATGAAGGGGTACCTGTGTGTATGTACAGTTTGTATATCATGAAGCTCTGGTAACGGCGATCTCGGACATGTATCCCTCCTTCTTCCAAATTGGACACCGGCGTAAGATCCTGCTCCTCTTCATCTGTGTGGCCAGTTTCCTCGTTGGCTTGCTGATGGTAACAGAGGTGAGAGGCCATCCAGAGCAGACATATGGCGAGAATTCAATGCTTCCTTCTTCATCACATTAAACAAACAAACGACTTTGTGGTGGCATTACAAAATACGTTTTAACCATGCCACAAATCAAGAGTCTTGATTATACCCTTCAAAATGAAAATAGAATTTTAAGAAGTTCTTTCTCTCTTTCTCCGAAGGGCGGTCTGTACGTCTTCCAGCTGTTTGACTATTATGCTTGCAGTGGAATGACTCTCCTGGCCTTTGCCATTCTTCAGTCCATCTGTGTCGGATGGGTTTATGGTAGAGACTTCTGTTATATCATTTTTGTTATGTTGGGTTAATGTAAATGAAAGGAAAGCATGATTTTTAGCATGCGGCTTTGACACTTTGCTACTGTTTAAGTGATCTTAAAACAACTTAAGGAATAGTTAGGTTAAAAGAGATTGAATTATGTACACTGTTTGTGCTTTTAGGTGCAGACCGTCTGTACAACAACATCGAGGACATGATTGGCTATCGGCCCTGGCCACACATGAAGTACTGCTGGAAATATGTCACCCCTATTATTTGCACAGTGAGTAATCTGCTGGCAAAACAGTTCTCAAACAAAAGATGACCGAATTTACTAAAAACAGTTTTCAGAAGTTCAGAGGTTACTGAAAATAGATTTTTTTTACACATAAGTTTATATTCTACGACAGATCATGGAAGCTCTTGGTAAGAAAAATGGCTCTCAGATAGCAATTTTGATATGGTCCAAACCTGGGCTACATCCAGCTTTTACTTGCAGTCCACATACCACATGGAATGATGGCACAGGAGAGGGCCAGAAGCAGTTGCCAGAACCCAGTCTGTTTCCTGATGTTAGAAAGCCATCTCAGCCATCTTTAAACCACCACTGCCAGAACTGATCCACCACACAAAACCACTAGTACAAAAAAACAGGCCATTACAACTGCCTTATTGGGTGGGACTTCCACTATTGTACAGTGCCACCAGACTCAGAGAGTGGAGGTCAGCATGTACTTTCCCCACTTTGACTACCAGCTTCAGATGGTTGGGGGGTTGATACAATGTCAACTCACAGTATGTCAACTTAGATAAGTTTTATTGTTCTATTAACTTACTATTTGATGTGCAATGAAAACAAAATTTTAAGCGGCCACAAATCATTTTAAACTAAATCTGAATTAAACTCCAAACTAGGAAATGTAGGATTGTGTTGGACTAAATAAATGTAATGTTTTAACCCAACATTATTCTTTATTGAAGTAACAAAGAAAATGTCACATAGGCCAAAACATTTTAGGTTGGATTTTTTGCAGTTTTCCATGCCATATATAGCAGGGATCTGAATTTAAACTATGCTCCCACACAATGCTGTTAAACCCTATTTAAAACATATCAGCACTGGCAATCTTTGCCAGACGTGGCCCAGATCTGTTTTGAGACATTTGGGCCACTTTTGGCTCACATGCAGTTTGCCAGTGCCAACTATGGGCCAGAAGTGGATTACATCTGCATGTTATCTGGGCTTCTCCAGTGTTCAAAACTATTTGCTTAAGAATTAGGATGTTTTTTAGCTATGTGGTGTGTAGTGTTGTACTGTCTGATGTCTATCACTTAACTGTAATAGTAAACATGAAATTAGTGCTTGGCATGGTCATCGTGCCTCTACATGCACTCCTAAAAATGAAGTTTCCCAAGGACTCTAAGTAGTGCAACTGTCTAAGTGTTGGTCTTATTAAAAAAAATGTTCCTAAATGGTTCTTGACACTTCTAGGAAGAACCCTGAAATGGTACAGAGCTTTTATATAGTGTACAGGTTCTTTAAACATTTTTGATGTCCTCCACATCTAATCTATAACCATTGTTTTTTAAAGAGCCAGCCATTGAAAGTTCCTTTAAGAGTGTAGGACCAAGCTTTTAGTATTTTCAGTATCTCAGCCAGTCGTAAGTCTGTTTGCGACACCTGTCACCAGCATCTGTCTTTCTGGAAAAGACAGGTGAGACCTTCTGTAAGATTTCCAGTCTTACAGTCAGTTTCAAGAGTTTGTGTGAGGAAAAGCCTGCCTGGCTAATCTTCCTCATCCTCATCATTATCTCTCTTATCTCCTTTCTGCATCTTCCTCACAGGGGACATTTGTCTTCTCCTTGGTTAAGTACACCCCTCTGAAGTTCAACAACATTTATGAGTACCCTTGGTGGGGCTATGCCATTGGAGGCTTCTTCACACTGTCCTCCACCCTGTTGGTGCCTTTGTGGATGGTGTATGCGGTTTGCAAAACTCCTGGCTCTATGAGGAAGGTAAATGAATGCTGTCTGACTTTAATGCAAATTTTTCAAATGTTTTGGAAGTGAGTTAGCGGTGTCAGTGCAAAAAACATATACATGTAGTCATAAACTTTCTTTAGGCCTTAGTTATATCCTTCAAAAAGTGAAAAAAGTTTGAATTAGTTTGATTTTGAATTGGTTTTGTATTATATTTTATTGTATTAGTCTGGAGAAGACTAAAAAGGGTAGAGGGGATCAAACCCTAGTTTGCTACACAGAGGACACTGGTATTACCCACTACAGTATGGTCTAAGGTTCACTTATTTAACACTGGAGCTACAAGGCTAATATAGCTAACAAGTACTGAAGCTTGTACTCCACCACTAAGCACCATGCAAACTGCTTGCCTAATTAATAATTTCCATCAAAACATCTGAAGATGTTAAGTTATATCAATTAGACTTGCTTATGTGGTAACTGACACTGTAGCATTGTAGCTCCAGTGTAAAACTAAAGAAGCAAACTTCAGATCTGAGACATGTTGGCTAATCAGTGACTTTTAGGATAAATTGTAAATATCAACAGATAACTTTAAAATTACTTTTTGTTCAATTTTGAGCTTTTGACAATAATATACTAAGCAAACTGTAATTTGTCTCCCTGAACTAGCGAATGAAAACCCTGTGCACCCCTGCTGAAGACCTGCCTAATCCAAAATCTCCAAAGAAAGGGCTCTCTTCTAGCACGTTTGAGACTTTCACAGATCTTCAGACCTTACGCACTGTTCACAGACACACTCCAGCAGACGTATAAACACGCTGTGATACATGAAGGAACATACAAACACACACACACACTCCAACAGAGGCGCACTGTTACATGGTGGACATTTTCAAAATGGCCCGGTATTCGCTGTCATCCCAATCATCTTTACCATCTTCACTATCTTCATCACAAGCAGAAATTTTGACCAAGTCATCTTCGATTTCTGTTTACATGCAGTGTTTACTTGTTACCCTTTCTATGTTAACATTTTGAACTGTTACAGAAATGTACACGGTTACAGAAAAATAGTGGCATGAATAAGCTATGTGTACAGAACTGCAGAGCTGAGATACAGTTATATAACTATACATTATACAACTGTATGTTGTATAATGTACAGTTAATGCCAGTGCTGATAAAGAGGTGTTATTTTTTATTGACACCAATGCTTATATTTATACGTGATCTTTATGGATCATTCTGTTGCTATTTTTCAAAGTTCAATCTTTATCAATGCCTGTATAGAAACTTTTAAAAGTTTTAAAATGTTTTATGATTCCATGGTGTGGATTTATATGGAATGTCCGTTGTTGCATGTGAATGGTTGTAAGTTTGTATGTCTTTACTCAAATATATATTTTTTAAAGATTTCTAAGAGACACATGTACTTTAAATAGATGAGGTTCCCAATTTGAACATAATATGCCTTTACAATAACTACTGTCACTGTTGGTTGAGATTGGTCCCTCTTTGGATACTGTACAATAAATAAAATTGTTTTAATGTTTCGGGTGGCTTAATGTAATAATGAGCGCGTTCTAAATCATGATAGGGGTTGAATGGACTTATTTGATACTATTTGATTATTTTTGTAAACTGCTAAAATTGTCTACATTAACAAAGGTGTTCCCAATTACTGTGAGAAATCTGTACATTATTTTTCTCTTTAACAAAGGGGCCACTTGTTGTTGCACACACAAGCCTCTTTCATACTTGCGCTTTAGGGTTACAGTAATGGCTTGTCTTTCAGCTTTGGAAGAACAGTTCCATCTACTGGACAAATTGCATTATTGCCAGTTCTACAGTGTTTATCCACAATATGTATAAATTACATTCAGACATTTTCAATACTTCGAATAGTAACTACCAAACTATCGCTAATATTTCCTGAATGGAAAACGAAATGGTTGACGATTGCAACTTTACAGCAGTTCCTTGCAAAGGTTCCTGGTCACTGAGTGTTGTGTATGAAATAACTGCTACACCACTATGCCCTACTATGCACTATACAAGCACTTTTCAAAAGTTTCAGACCTGCTTATTTATTTAGTAACCTACGCCCAAAGACCGTTTTAGATTGGAGCCTTATATAGTAAACTCAGTTAACCACAAACACAACAGTCCAGTTATATCTTCAACATGTGTGTACATGTACACTACCCACCAAATGTTTGAGGGCACCTGCCTTTTTTGCTCTTTTTTTTGTTGAGGAACTTTTTCCTGTTTTTCCCTGTTACTTTTCAAGTAAGAAAACAGCTACTTACTTATACTCTGTGTATACTTTATGACACCCGGCTTCATATTTACTGAAGTATTTTTCTTGGTATAAAGATCTTTTGATAAATAATGCTTTAATATAAGTGACTTTTTTCCTCTCATTAAAAGCACATATTAAACATCTTGTCCCAAAGGTGATTTAAACACCTGAAAGATTTCAGTATATAATGTGTGGGCTATCTATTTGTCTGTCTGTCTGTCTGTCTGTCTGTCTGTCCATCTATCTGTCTGTCCATCCATCTGTCTGTCTTTCTGGCTGTCTGTCCGTCCGTCCGTCTATCTATCTATCTATCTATCTATCTATCTATCTATCTATCTGTCTGTCTGACTGTCTGTCTGGCTGTCTGTCTGGCTGTCCATCTGTCTATCTATCTATCTATCTATCTATCTATCTATCTATCTATCTATCTATCTATCTGTCCATCCGTCCGTCCATCTGTCTGTCCGTCTGTCTATCTATCCATCCATTCATCCATGTCATCTAGAGTTCAGTAAGGCAGCATACCCCCAGCTAAGGACAAAGAAAACATTACAAGAGAAAATACTCAAAAAAGAATATGCTCTCCATAATAATAAAGGTAAATAAAAATATATTAATCAAATCAATTCAACTCAAATTAGAAGTTATCCTGATCATTAATCATCAAAGTAATTCAGTCTTGAAATCTGTCTAATTGAGTGATAGTATGTGACTATACAACTACAGCAATACTGTTTGACATTCTTTTCCATTGTGTTCTTAGCATCTTATGATCAGAATTCATTTTTGATGTTCTGGATTCTGCATGTGGTCACTGAACTATACAGATTAGCACATAGATCTTCTAAAGCCCCCACACCCCCTCACCCCCTGCCCTGCTGTCAGTTGACCTGTCTCGATTTGAATGGCCAGCTCACCTCATTGTCTGTGATGGTGTATTCTGGTCACACCTTATCTGTTGTTGAGCTGGTGATAAGCCCCTTGTAAGAAGCCAAAGAGAGTTTAAGAAGCTAAACCCGATTAACTGACGTGTGACTTTCTACTAGCAGGTCACACCTCTAAATCTCTGAGATTCTGACAGGCTCCTCACACTGCCCTGCTCTCTTTATGGTCAGAATATTGCTAAGCTCTGAGCCCTGTACTATTTGATATGAAGTGAATCCTCTTTGGCAGTCTCTGATGCTCTAAACAGCCTTTATAAATGTCACGTCTCATCACACAAACGTTCTTATTTTGTTATAATGCAGCAATTCATATGAGAGGTACAACCACACTGCACAACCTACAGTTAGATCTAGATGCTGAAAATATGAATATGGCGTACTTTTTGTTTGATATTGCTCGTCTTTAGTTCCCAGCTCACCCAGATGGTCATTTACATGGCAGTAATTTTCAGAGAATAATTTCCTAATAGCGAGCATCTCTTCTTTCCATTTATTACAAGATAGCCAAAAAGTTGTAAGAAAAACCTGTAAGAAAAAAAAATGCAGGAACAGAAATCAACAAAAGTTATAGTCTGTCTCTTAATATTAGCTTTCAAATATTCATTCAAATTGTTTGGGCAAGACACAAAAGAAGAAGGTCAGATCACTACATGTCTTTAATCAATATCAATTTAATAGAATATACTTATGTTTGAAGCCAAGTCATTAAGTTCTAGTAAAGTTGGAACAGGATTAACCTAGTTTTTCTGGACCACCATTGGCTGCATGGTATTTATGTTGCACAAATCTCTATGATATATAACATAAAAATCTTACATTATGTGCAGGGTGACAAGTTTAGTCCATCCACCCACAGTGTTCTCTGGATGCCCACTTAGATTTTTTACCATCCACTTTTTTCAATAAATACAAAACTACTATCATCACCAGGGCCGGCTCTAGCATTCTGGGGGCCCTAAGCAGGTTTCTGGGGGGGGCCAATGTGCCTAGGGACTCCCCCAGACCTACACCTTGTAAACAGTTAAAAAATAAAAGTAGAGAGAATAGTTTTTCCTCTGAGCCCTCAAGCTATCGTTTCAAGTTATCAATTTTAGTAACTTCTTTAATGTGTCCTGTTTGTGTTTTAGCTGTCTATTTGACTGTATACTGTTTTGGCATTTTTATTATATTTTTCAGTCCAATTATATGTTTAATATGGTAAAGATCTGCTGAATTATTGTGTGGACCAGTCTTAGCATAATTCAAACATTTATACATAGAAATCCTATATATAATCTTAAATAAACGTTCCTAAGAATCCTGTTGTACCTTTGATTATACAACATATACAATATATACATATACAACAATAGCAAACCAGTTAGCTTGCGAGCTGATTACTGTATAATTAGAGGCTAACTTATAACAGTGACTCACACAAAAGGTGTAAAGTATGTTAAAAAAAATCTGCAGTTTTAGTGTACTGCTGATGATTGAATGCTAACGGGGTTCCCTCAGCATCCTCCCAGTCCCAGACTGCTTCTTGTTTTCTGACCAAAAGCCATTGCAACATAATGTTGACACCTCAAAATGAAACCAAAACATAGTTTTATCTTTTAGCTTTTTCTCCTCATCTTCTCTTGTTTAAGACTTAATTAAACAGTTCTCATTTCAGTGTCTCATTATATAACATAATGGAAATTTACAGTAATTACCTAAAAGTTGCTAGGGGGCCCCCTGGTGGCCACAGGGCCTTAAACAGCTGCTTAGTAGGTAGAGCCTGCTTTAATCAAAACCCTTTAATTAATTCATTACTTAAATAATCTGCTGCTATGTCACAAATTCACAAAAAAATGATTTATTTAGCTCTCTAGCTAGGTCTGCTTTATCATAATCTACTAGCCTAAACAAAAGAGACTTTACATTTCACGACTTCTCCAATGAAACATACAGTGAGAAGTAACACTTGAACTGGCAAGGAAAATGCAGGTTTGTTTACTTGGTCTCTTTAAACATCTCTACATGTTTAGAGATGTTTATATTATAGCTTCTGAGATAGCTAACACTACACTGTCAAACTCTTACAAAGAGATAATTATAAAAAAATATGACTGACGCATCAAGAGAGTATTCCACTCTATTCTGGAACACTTACTCCAGCGCTTTCTGACTTTATTTTCACCTGCAAGAGTGAAAAACTGCTAAATAACACTGCAAATTTCCAAATGAAGTCAGACACAGGCTAAGCTCAAATAAACACTCAACACTCACCGCTGTGTTAGGAAGAGTTTTTGTTGTTTCTGTAAGACACATGACGCTATTCAATGTATGTTTTCTGCTTTCCTTTGGTATTTGTATGTTAGCCCACCTGAACTATGAGTATACGAGCAAAAATGCCACTTCATTTGATTAGTTCTACAGCTCCACCACTGTTGTAGGCTGGCCCACTGAGTGGTCTACCAAAATCCAGTCCATCTACCCAGTTTTTGGACAAATAATGCAGTACAAATTCTGTTTTGGAGAAACTTTTGGAGAAACTTACATCTCTCACTTGTCTCAATTGTCTTTTTATGATGTAAATTGTCGGAAGTGGGCTTTACACATGCAAGAAATGTCGGTGCTGTATTATGATTAATACCATAAATTAATAATAGAGAAATAAAAATGTGTTTTCCATTATGCCGTACATATAATATGTATATCTGCTGTTATTCTTTTCAAAAACTCATTATATCCAGAACTGTTTATATTGAATATACAGCATGTTGGAACGAAAATCTTCATATAGATAATGATCATAAAAAGGGAGTGGCAGGGATATGATGCATCTATTTTTTGTTGAACTGTAAATAATTCGATATTATATTTTATTCCAGCAATTCTTTCAGTCATTTGCCACATCTGTCCATTTGAGGTATATGAGATTAGGCACTGTCCCCACACACCGGCCTTGATTTTCCTTTGTAGGCACCTCTAATCGAAACTTATCCCATGATGACTTGGAATGGAATAGACCTTCATTATTTAACCTTAGTGTCTCAGATTAATTAACAAAATACATCATCACAAGTTAATTAGAAAAAATACTCTCAGCTTTAAAAGGTAGTGTGAATGTTGAACAGCATTAGATCTGAGAAGAAGTGGATTAGAAGAAACTGAAGAGGAACCATGGAGTAAGAGGAACCTCTGAAAGATTATATGTGGGAGAACTTGGGGCACTTTTTAATGAGCTTTAAATTGCAGTGTCTGAATTTTAACCTATGATGCTAGATGATTTTGGTAGCTATAACCAGCTACACAACTGTTTTATTTTCTCAAATTTGTTACC